TTGCAGGGACTCGCGGCTGCTTGCATGGCACTTGGGGGCACCTCCTGGCCCATTTCCCACTGCATCTGCCTGCGAAGGACTGGAAATCCCCAGTGAAACCTACTGAAAAGTCTTCCCCCCCACCAGTCCCTGCTTCAGCTACTGAGGCAGGGGAAGAGGAGGAAGGCAGGAGTTGGGAAACCACCATTTCACAGCATCACTCCCTCCTTGTGGGCCCTGGGCGATGACAATCATAAATTCAGTAAAGACTTGACAATTGACACTGAGCACTGCTTTATGGAATTGTCTTTAATCACTGAAATCACAAGAGGCCCGTGGCTCTGCCCCCACTGCCAGCCTTCATTTGTTATAAATATCCAACAGCACAGTGGAAAAGTACTTGTGGGGGGCTACGGTTGGGTACACCAGCACAAATCCCAAAATACTCTCTCCTGGTGTTGAGCTTTGAAGGAAACATAAACAAAATCATTAGTACCGTTCAGTATTGTTAGCCAGGTTCTGGATTTGCTTTCCAGATGCAGAAAGAGAAAGGCTGCACGCGTGCGCCCGGGTCCCCGGGTGGCCATGCACCGCAGACCTGCTGCGTGGGGACGAGGGTGGGTGCCAGCACAGCTGGGAACTGCAGCCCCGTCATCACTCTGTGGGGCACTGCTGTCACCTGCCTTCACAGGGCTCTACACCACCTATTTTCAGGTGGGGACGGTTTCTTCCCCTCTCTCCTCTTGTCTGAGCTTAACCCCTTTCACATCTGCCACGGCACAACTGATGGTGATGAGACTCCACCACTGCCAGACAGAAGAGCTATTCAGTAGGCAGTAAAAAGATCTAAAAAAAAAAAAAAATTATTTAAACCCTGAAAGAGCAGGAAAACATTTTAAAAACCTCCAAATGAAACTCAGGAACTGAAGAGCCCCAGACCTCATCAGACACTCCTCACCAGGGGGTCTGAACGTGCTGCTCCCTGGGTTTAACATCACCACAGTTTCCTAAATCACTTCTTATCACAGGGGTTTCTTACTGTTTAAATTACACAAACATGTCTGCTGTTTCTATAGCTGGGGCTTTTCCCCAGGCTTTTATGCAAAAATCCCTATTTAAATGAGTTTCTGTATTCTAAAAAATAGAATTTAACAGCATGATCTGAACAAAAAAATAATCTATTAAGTTCTGGTTCCTGAAAGCAAGTTTCAGGGAATTCACTTGAATAACTATTTGCATGTGAGTTACACATCACCAACACAACAGGACTTCCTAAAACCAGCCAGAAGAGCACGCTGGGGGAGGAATTAAGGCTAAGTTTTCATAGCACGTTTCAGCATCTTAATAAATAAAAAGACAACAAGGCTCTTGTGAACAGCAAAACCGAATGTGTATCAGCCAGGCAACAGGCAGGACTCGGGAATTCTTCCCATAGCTTCACATTGTCACTTCTAGCTCTTTGTAAATGCAGGAAAGGAGAGTGTTGGCACTTAATAATTTATACCGGACCTCAGAAGTAGGGCAGCCTTCATGTCCCCAGCACTGAGGATACGGGGTGGCTGACGGGAGTAACAGGACACTGCGTGGGAGCAGAGGCCAAACCTTCTGTTGGTGCAAAAGAGGCGAGAGCACTGCAGGACCTGCCCGGGGTGTTCTGTGCCCCCAATCCCTACTGCCTGAATACGGCACCAGTCGTATTTTGTGTCCAGCATCTGGAAGCCAAATTTAAGACCCCAGGGAGCTCACATATTTGGGGTTAATTTTACCTCCTCTAAAACCACAGGTAAAACTCTCCAAATTATATATGCCGCAGAGCCATGTATACTGCAGTGGGAAAGTCCCCCCGCCTTGAGCTGTTGGTCACCCACCAATGGGTTACAGAACCAAGCTGTAAGAAAACTGGGGCTCTCGATGGTTTCCAGCATGGGACTGACCTCCAGCCACATGTGGCCATCCCCATTCCAAAGAGCAGCCGCAACATGGATCTTCAAGAATGTCATCCGGTCCTCTATCGATCACAACTGAATTTACATCTTTAGCACAGCGACATCAGGATTTAACTAGTTTTCCACACAAGGGTAGCCAAGATCCCTGACTGCATCCAAGTTTCTCAAACAAAAACTTGGTACCCGTACAGGAGGGGCTGCACAGCTTTGGTACCCACAGAAGATACGCTGCAGGCACATTTATCTTACACGTAACACATCCTGGGGGAGCATATTGCTTTGACTATAAAGCAGGGGGGTTCAAAAAGAGCAACGATCTGCCTTCCTGCCTTCTGAGCAGAACAGAAAGCAAGGGCCAAAATCACTAACCCCTTGTTCAGATAAGCTGTTGTTATTCATGGGAACAAATCTGTTCATACCAACAGACTCGTTTGATTATAGGTTGTGGAGTAGGGTCTAAATCCCTGTGTAACAAAGCCTTCATAACGATCTCAAGTTTGTTCCCAGAGCTCTAGATAAGCACCATTATGAAATAGCTTTATGCTGGGTAAACACCACAGAGAGGAGTGGCCAGGCTGGGGGCTGAGCCATAGGGACGAACCGAAAAACTCCGGCAAGTGTCTGTGTACAGTGAGCTTTTTTCCAAAGCAAGCTCTGCAAGCAACAACAAGGCTTCGTTTCCCAGCATCCACACTTCCAGCATCCTGACCTTTCCTTTCCAATTATAATCCACTATCCAGACTCTGACACAGCAGACTGGCCCCTGCGTATCATGCTGACGTGCACACCCGGGCCCCAAGTCACCACAGCAGCTTAGCCTTGTTTGTTCCAGTTTTTCATTCTGTTTGAAATGGGATGTCGGCGTCCACCTGCCAGCTAGCACACCTCATTTGTGCTTGGAGAGTCGGTGCTTTTACAGCCAGACTTCATACTGGAGTTTGGAGAATTAACTGGAAGGTCTAAGAGTGCCATTTTGCACAGAATCCATCCTTTTATTTTCCTAAAGAATTAATAGAGAGTGTCTAAAAATTGGTATTAATAGGCTGGTGTCCTTCAGGGAATCTGATGAAATGTGCTTGTCAGGAAACACTTGGCAGACTGAAGGGCTGTCCCCCGCAGGCAGGCAGGCAAGCCAGCCTCTGCCTTTTTCATTGTGCATGGCACAATCGGAGTTCATAGGCACGGCAGTAAGTTGTGCTTTCACTGAAGAATCTTCCAAAATGAGCCAAGAGGAATCTCCAGAGAGCAGAAGGCACATAGAAGTAAACTGATCAGCTTAGATGACATGCCATGTTCGTGGTCAAGTAGACATGGTTTGATATCACAAGCATTCAGACTCTGGGAATCCAGCAAAAATCTCATGTATCCTTTTACAGGAACATTGCCAACCAGCAAAAAACATGCACAGGAAGTAAACTGAGGATGAGGAGAGGGAGATCACGTAACAAGCCTTCTGTCCGGACTTGCCCATGTCAGCCACGCTGGCTAGTAGTGGTGCTGGTACCCAGCTGCTGGGGTAGTGCCATTCTCGATGTGTTTCAGGTGACAGGAGTGACAAAGCAAATGTTCGTCTAGCGGGTAACAGCGATGCCCATCTTCATCGTTCAGTTCCATCCCACAGTCCTGCAAAGAGAGGCCGTGCAAATTATTAGAGCACGCGTTCATCGTCCAGAGTCATGCGGGGTCTGGCTTCCAGGAGGGGGATTCTGTGACAAGGACAGAAGACATCCAACCAACAGCTCCTTCCTAGCAAGTCCAACATTTTCCACAAGAAGGAAAGCATCTGACACAGGCATTTTGAGGCCTTGTACAAATTTGTCCTATGCAGTTTTATTGAATAAGCTTTTTCTTGTGGTGAGGTGCAACCCTCAGTATTTTAAATGTCTCCTTATGCTCTCAGGCAGGACTCACCTCTTCACACCACGTTAATTGCAGTTGTACTGATGTGAAAACAGCTTGCTGAGCGAGGGCCTCTTTCCACTGCACGTGAGCACAGTGAGAGGAGACAGCTATTTACTCTAATTCACAGAGCAGAAGTGTGAAGGCTCTCTGGGAAGCCCTGCACAGAGACCAAATGGCGTTTAAGAGCTAGCATCTCTTGGGATTTTTTTGTGCAGCCATGTCCTTTCTCCAGCCCCCATAACGAGTGAAGGTAACTTACACCAGACAGGATCAGCCATCGCCTCAGCATTTGTGAACAATCTAACCTGGAAATCAGATACACGAATGTGATCTGGAGGTCAAGCCTTCTGAAAGGCAGCAATAGAACCTTACTAAGTCACCATGCTTCCTTCGTTAACAAATGAATTGCCAAGTTTAAAAGTGATAATTAACTCTTTGCCCATGACTTTATGGATAGCAAATGAGATCGCAGCTGAGACACACTGCTGCAAAAACTTCTGTCCTCAAACTGAAAATTTCTCATCTGCTGATAGAAAGGGTCGCACAATGCAAGGTTTGAATTGCTACTGCCACTGGAAGGGGGGAGATTTATTTCCATCTTAAAAATAACAGAAGTTACCACTATTAAGTGCCTGCTCCCTGAGAAAGCAGCTGCCCTACCTCACAGTGATAACATTCCACGTGGTAATCCTTGTCCATGGACACAACGCGAATGGTCTCATCGGACCCCTGTAAGCATTGGAGCAAAAGAGAAATTACAAAGGATTACAGCAGGATCAGACACATGCACTCAGTAGATTGCTTCCTGCAGCAATGTGAATGTTGAACAAATGCATCTGAGCTGCTGGCTGGACACCACAAATCAATCCTGCCATCTGCAGTTATTTTTACAGTAAAGCTTCACCATTGACTGTGGATATCCTCTAAAATGTAACATCAGGAATGTTAAATTCTCTCTGTTCAACAGCCACATCTATCCCAAATCAGGCATTAATGATGTGGTCATTTCAACAGATCACATTTCTCAGTAAAAGGCTCTCACCTCGGAGGGCAGGATGGGAAGTCCACACGCTGCACACTTGGGAGCTAAAACTCTGGAAGAGCAACAAGAAAGTGAAGGCAAATTATAGATCGACATCAAAAGAGAGGCCTGCATGTTCTCGGCGATAAGAGGAAAAGCTGCAGCTGTAAATAACTTATCCACAGGAAAGATTTACAGTCCAAGATCATAAATTCATTTGAGGATTGATTGTAAGTAACGTTTGGCGCATGTTGCTCTCTCAGGCAGAAAGAGATCTTACATTTTACATTTAGTGCCAGAAGAAACACAAACCCACTGTAGAATTCTTGGCTGCTACTGAGAGATTTGAAAGAGAGAATGACGAGAAACTGAACAGGACTGTCCCCAGAGAAACACATTAAAAGAAGCAGCAGCCTTGCAACAGGGCAGGAAACCCCGAAGAAAACACCATGGGACCGTAAGAGGTTCCTTCAGGCCTTATAACACAACGTAACACAATAAATAAGTAGTTAAATGAAATGGGAAGGAAACGTGCATCATTTCAGAATGACAGTGGCACCCAGAGGCAACTCTGATCTTGGCACAACACAGAACAGTTCCCTGGGCTGCCTGAGTAACACTGAACAGTCTGCTGCTCACAACACGGAGCAAGGAGCAATGCAAGCCAAGCGGACATTCCAAATGTATGCTGCTATACCATCATCACTACCAGGTAAGAGCACAGCCATTTCATTTTACTAAATGACAGGTGTTTTTTTTAAGTGGATTTATCGGTTGCTCAATTTAGAGCTGGATAAATGTTTCACTATGATTTCTAAAAGCATTCTTTAAAGGTCAAACTCAGCCCTGCAACTCCTCAAAAAGCAGCTCACGCTGATTTCAGCAGGCACTCACAGTCTTACTTTAGAGTCGACTGGCTTCTTCCATCACTGAACACTTCACGAGCACTATTTCTCACCATCTCTGCTTCGCAGAAGGGGCGGCTGAAGCCCAGGGGCTAAGTGACTTCCTCAGGGTTACACAGAAAGCCCACGGCAAGGCGAGGGGAGAGACATCAGGAATTTCTAGGGTCTAGCCCCATCCTCAAACTTCTGCCTTCTCATCCTGTCCATGTATTACTAATCCACACTTCCCAATTAGCTGAAAAGCTAAATGAAAGGCTTGCTGATGGGAGCACCTGTGCTGTTTATTTTGTCCTTACTTGTGGTAGTCTCTGACACAGTAGATTTTGTTTTCAGAGTCTACAGTGAAGGGCACACCATCCAGGCACTCATTGCAGACCACGCATCGGAAGCAGCCCGGATGATACGATTTCCCTAGAGCTTGCAGGATCTGCAACAAACGAAGAGATAGGAAAAAAGCATGTGAACAGCCAATAAAGGTGAAAATAATCAACACACAGCTTTACATCAGACAGTGCTGCATATTCATCAGCAGGGTTGTGTTTTCTTTCGTGTCACCTCGTCTGAAAAATGAGTTAACAGGGATGGAAAGGGCAGCTGGAATCAGTAAGCAACACCTGGTTCCCGAGAAATGAATTATTAGCATGGGTAAGAAAACAATTTATAGTTTCAGTCAAGGTATTTAGCATTACAAAGGATAGAAGTGACAGAATTTAAAGGAAAAAAAATATTTTCTGAAGCCAACAGTTGGATAATACTTATCAGGATCACAAGGCAAGTGTACCAGGCCAACAAAAGGAAATGCATCTCTACATTCTCCATGAGAGGCTGAAACAAATACTATTGCTAGGTTTTCATAATGCTTCAGATATCCAAGAGCTTTGTTATAGCCTCGCTTTCTCATTAACACAGACGATGCAGACTGTATTGAACTCAACAGCTGCCATTCACCTGCTGGCTCTGGGGCAGTAATTACAACCTGGAACATCACTTCTGAGTATAAAATAGCTTTTCCAATTGTAATGCTTTCCAGTGTGAGCAGGCAGGCAAAGATAATTAATGATAAGCATTAGAAAAACTTGGCAGGCATGCTGGGAACTAACCACTCAGAAATTTCCCATTTCTTTGCCTCAGCTGTAGCTCACCAGGTACATGACTGTGACCTTCATCCCGAAGGCACGTGAGAAGCCACGGCTCAACTACGGGAAGGACAGGCTCAGCAGAGCCGCACTGATACCCCACAGCACAGGAGCACTGAAGAGCCACAGCACTTCTGAGCAGGAAGCATCGCCAGGATTGTGAATACTCTGTCCAGGGAAGCCCAAAAGGGGACGGAAGAGCTGAAGACTGATTTTCAATTTGCACTGAAAACAGCTGGAGCCAAGTCTCTGCATCGCATGCAGCAGGGTGCCAGCTTCACTTCCTCTCAAAAATCAACACAAGGCTTGGTAGATTTTCTTTCTGCTGCCAATCTCACACTAGGCAGACTACCAGATGATAACAAACAGTACTGGATATGAACACATTCTGCTTTTGATGCATTCTTCTAAAAAGCTGTGGGATTTTTTCTCCTAAAGCAATTATCACTTACCATGTCCATTATCAAATGGCCACAGATGAAACACCTGTCAGCTGACTGCTGGAAACCAGAATACTGCAGGGACAAAAAAGAATTGGCTTAAAATTTCGCAAGGCTAGTCGAGCATAAACAACAGCATATTATGGGGCATTATTTGCTTGGCCTTTTTCTGTACTCCTTACACAAGCTAAACTTTCCAGTGCTTTTTTCAGTCTATGAAGCTGTGGATGGGTCCCCAGAGGATATTTTACACTGACATCAGACTTCCACTGTTCAGGAGCAAAGTTACAGGAACTCATACTCAAGTCCTAAATTTAAGTTTAGTTCAGTACATAAGTAAACACCATAAATGCACATGCAAAGAAGCCATTTACTAGGAAGACTTACTGCTATTGCTAAGATCTAATGGTAAGGAACTGCCCATTGTGTCCATGACACGCACTCAGGCACAACACATCATCTAACGTTTCAGTCATATCTGAATGGTGGAAATGCAAACTGGAAAAATGAAATATTTTAGATGCATTTAACCAATCTTTCAATTTTCAGCCTGTGCAGAATGTACTGATGAGAGCAAAGAAGATTAACTCACTTCTCTCTGATGGAAATCACTAGACTTCCCCAATAAATAGGCAAATATGACTTCTTCAAGTCTCAGTGAAGGCTTAATCTATGAGGGCTCAAGGGCAGGGGGGCACATAGCTTTATATTCCACCAGCCAAGGAGGGGACTACGGGATTGCTTCATGCCTGTGTACATTCACACAAAATCCACTGAGGACAATGGAAAGATATCCATTAAGATGCTCAAGCAAAGCCAGTTCATCGGAAAGGGAAATTCACTCTTCGATTCTCCTGCAGTCATTCATCTCACTCCCGTTTCCACAGCATGGCCACAGAGACACACTTTGAAGGAGTCATGGCAAGAGGCTACAGCTTCAACTACAGGCTCTGCACTGCACACCATGGTCTTTCACTCGGCTGCTTCCAGTACCACGTGTGAGCAACCCCCATGGGGCTGGCACTAGCCCTGGGGAAAGGGGGAGCTGAAGGGCCAGGCAGGATGCTGAAAAGTGAGCAGAGCCGCCGGGCAGAAAGGCTGCACGTCTGCCGGAGAGGCTGAGCCATGCCAGCACAAGGGCCAGCTGTGTGCTTACCAGGAAATCTTCTTCGCAGAACACCTTGCCGTTGACAAAATAAAAGGCTTTCCCTCTCAGCTTTCGACCTGTGGGAAAAACAGAGAGAAAAGAGAAAAATAAGCAGAGAATGGGGAGAAAATGTGAGCAAAAACTGCCTGCTGAGAAACAAACAACAACGAGGACATTGGAGCATGGCCGCTGCACGGCTGGAGAAGAGCATCCAACTCCATCTCTTCCACTGGCAGTCACTGATGAACGCCAACTGCTGGATCCGGACAACAGTCCCACCTCTGGGCAGGAGGAGGAAGCTTTGCAAGCCTGGACCACCGCCTGGCTGATTACAGCGTGAAATAACCTGGCAAGAGCAAGTGAGTGTACTCTGACGTACGCTGGAAAACACCCCAGGAGAGGAGCAAGGAGAAGAAAGAGCATGCAGAAAGTGATCCATACCTGATACCATTCCTCAAAATGTCTGTGCTGTTCCACCAGAAGGTGCCTTCAACCAGCAGCTGCCAGAGAAGCCACTGCAATACCTGACCACCCAGTCTGCCTCCAGCAGAGTGCAAGACCAGAGCACCTAACACACTTCTCTCTGCTCCCTACCAGCACAGCTGTTATTGCAGCTGCCAAGAAAAATCTGAAAGCATTTTAAATAAGAATTTTTTTTCAAACCAGAATGTCCTAACAGAGATAAGACAACAAAGTTTTTCCAAGAAAGGGCTCTGCACGTGGGGAAGATTTATATTTACTGCAGCTTTTGTGTTTATGCCTCCTATTCGCTGTTTTCAGTTCCAGAGGAAGCCAAGTAAAAGCACTTCAATAAATCAAGAGCTTTACCGTCTCCTGCACTCACCAGAGGGCACTCTCAGGCTGTGAAACAACTCGTGCTGCTCCTTGGGAGATGGGTAGTCCAGTGAAGCTCTGGAATTTTGCCAGTGAATTCAGCCAGACCAGCATTTCACCAGCAGCCCGTAGCGTCCTGCCCAGGTTCCAGCCAGCAAGGCTGACGGAGGACACAGCAGCACATTTCTCGAGGAACAAGCCTGGGTTTGCACATGCAGCAGCTTTGTGAGTAAGCTGCAGGCGTTGTTCAGCACAAACCCGAAAGCATCCCGCTCCGATTCCTCTCTCAGCCACCCCGATGCTTTGCCAAGGTTGCTGACACCAAAACAGGACCTGGAGCCCAAAATAAAAAGTATCCGATCTTGGATGCATTAGCTTTGTGGCCCAAAACCCAGGGTGTGTAGTTGTCCGATAACCCCTCTTGTGTGCCTGCCCATCCGCAGGTAAGTCTGGCACACTCACCGGCAGCTGCAGAATCCCAGTTTTGGAGGAGAGGAAGAAGAGGCACGGAGGCACCTGGGATTTGCAGCACCCCTGTCAATGGTGGCCCTCAACAAGTTAATGAGCCTAATAAAGAAAGAAGTACCCCTGAAAATCTCCCACCAATTTAATTTAAACACAGCATTGGGATTTAGCACTCCTAAAAAGAAAAAAAAAACACACAAAAAACCATTTAAATTTGATTTTAAATTCCGCAGTAGGGGGGGCTCCAGTTCAGTGCAATGGGCAGGTGTCCGAGTGACTCTCCACCTGTACGCAGGGTCTCTCCTCAAAGACAAGCTGGCAGTGGCGAGGAAAAACAGATGTGGAGCCACACAACAAGGAGACACTTCTCTTGTTGTGCGCGAGCACCAGCCATCACAGCAGCAGGGATGAGGTTTGGATCGCTGCCACCACGTCATTCTTCCACAGTGACAGAACCAGCATTTACCAGCCAGTAAATATTTTTAACCCTGTAACATTAGCAGGTCAAGATTGATGGCAACAGGCCTTCGGAGAAGCTGCCACAGCCAGTGCACTGTGTCTGTCTGGGCTTCTGCGGCAAGCTCGCTCAGCAGAGGGACAAACCCCTTTGTGAAGGATTTATAATTTGGCTGTTGGCGTTACATGGGCCCGTGAAGAAGAGGTGCTGACAGCAAGAGCACTTCGAGGGAAAAAGAGCAGATAAATACTTTCTTTAGGGAAGAAGTGGTAATTTCAACTATTTTTAGCTCCTCTCCCCAACTGCCTTTAAGCCCCTAGCAGAAGCATAAATGGAAATTTGCCAAAAAAGGGAGTAACCAGGTAGGTACTCCTGCAGCCACCACGGGAGCAGCGCCTGCAAACAGAGCCCATTTTTAACTCTGCTGCTCTCAGCCTCTCCCTGCCCGCCTCGGGATGGACTTCTCCTCCCACCACCCCTTTGAGGATGAGGAAGCATCTCCTCATTGCACACATGGGAAACCGAGCTGCAGGAAAAGCTCACTTCCCCGGGCTGCACTGGGGACTGTCCTTGCGGAGCTGGGAAATGCAGCCTGCAGAGGCTGGCACGGGTTCAGCTTGAACGCGGAGATGCTGCCATAATTTCACCTAAAGAAAGGACGGAACTTAAACGGTATATAAGGAACCACATATTGATCACTACATACTAGAAATATGCATCACTTTAAATACGCATCATGATGACTACACAGATGCTATCCTTTGCTGAACACAGAAATATTAGTGCATGGCTTTCTGCTTTCAGGATAACTTCTCTACTACATGTCTTACGCTGCTGGCTCCTAACCGTATCTCACTTGCACTTCATCCTGAATTTAGCTAATCTCACCTGAAAAAATTCAAGCCGTTAAAATTCTTTGGCATTTCAACCCTACCATCTTCATTTGTTGTTACAGGATATCTTGTTCCTCCTCCTGACAGGAGGTTTGAGCCTCGTGCTATTATGTACTGCTCATCCCAGCATGTCTGTCTGATCTGTTTAGCCCTGGGACCTTCAGGATGACCTCGAGGTCATTTAAGCACTGGTTTCAGAATAGTTCAAGCTTAGTCACTAGTGCCTTTGTGCTAAAATAAATACACTTTGCTCAGCAGCCGGTAACAGGCATGCCACCAGGCTACACTCCCAGGATGCTGGAGCTTTTGTCCATCGTTTTCTCAAACTATGGTGCTCTCCTTTCGAAGCTCACACAGACAGGACTTTAGCAGGGACTTGCAACGGCCCAGGGCAACCTGTTACTCCTACACAGACATGAGCATTAATCTGAGCTTAAAAAAAAAAAAAAAAAAAAAAAAGAGAGAAAAAGAAAGTACTGTAGCAATGTTGACAACTCAAAGGTCAAATTCTGTAACCAGGCAATCATGCAAGCATTCCTCCTCCCTGCAATAAGGGGTCAGGATCTGGTCCTCAGCTTGGACCTTCTGCTGCAGTTCAACATCGAATCCTCCTTCAAACCACCTTGCAATCAGTTCTTTCTTTCCGACTTCCGTCCTCGCCTACTGATTTCCTTCACAGTCATCTCTGACACTTCCCTTGCACGTTTTTAGCTTCCAGATTTCCTCTGAGGACCAAGTAGCTCAAGTACAAGACCCCCCTGCTCTGAATGACGCTGCCAGCAGAGCTAAAGAGGTCTGTTTTCCAGGCAGACTGTGGCAGTTGGACATAAGCCTGGCTGAATCCTAGAGAAAAACACTGAAACACCAAAACAGGTTAGAGCCATACTGTCTAGTTAAATCTGTAACATTTCTAAGGCCTCCTTCGGACTAAATAGTAAATATCAACATGTGGAAACACCTGCAATTTTTGTGTTCTGAGGATGTGTAAACTAGTGACTGAGCTTAAAAGGTTAATTGTAACAAACCATTAGATAACTACAGATGTTTGTCCAACAAACTGAAAAAAACCCTCAAGACCGAAAGAGATACCTTGAGCTTGCAGGAAATAACCATACGAGCTTTGAGGACTTTTGTTTCTAACCTACTTTCAGGGCCCTCCTGTAAAGCAAATATAATTTATTACTAATCCCGCAGAAAGAGCCCAAAGTCTTTTCCTCTCCCTCTCCTCAGAAAGCTGCCTTGTTCATGTCTCTGCCCTGTAACAAACAAGAAGATAAATGACACCTTTATGCCAAAGTAATGATTCTAAAGCTGTTGTTTTGACCTCTAAGCCGAATTTTCTGCATTACATGCCAGTGGCTCAGATAAAACAGCACATTTTTTTCCTGAGAACTGAACGCTGTAACGCGTGCGTCGCTCTGCTCTACAGATTGCTCTATCATTGATCTCTGAACATACGTGTATCAGGAAACAGGGGGTGTAGGAAATTGGGCACCATAAGGTACCGACCCCCCTCCCTGCTTAGACCCTCTTGGTTTTCTGTATCTAGGAAACTAACGCACATTTGGACAGAAATCCCACTACGAGCAAAATCAGAAATCCTCACTAAAATGAAAACAGCAGGACAGCAGATATAAATATCTGGAGGACAATATGCTTTACCTTAATAGGTAATTTTGTATGTTTTATTTATCGGAGCAGAGATGTTCAGTGTTCCACCAAAGCAGAAATTTTAGGATTGAAATCATGAGCAACCTTGACTCCTCCAAGAAAGGACTGTACTGGATGGCGTCCCAGATGAACTCCACTTGACCTTAAAAGCACTACTTTTCAGCTGGAAACCAGAGTTTCCACGTAGGCTGCTCAAGATGTGCTTAGACAGACAACACCACCCGGACAAATATTTATCTTTCTGGCAGATGAAATGGTCTCATCACATTCACTGCAGCGACGCAGATGACAGCCAGCCTGCAGAGAGGGTAACGAAGGGCCCTGCAGACCGCAGCGGCAGGGCAGGAAACCACCCCTGTACCGGAGGGTTTCTTGTGAGCCTTGCCGCTTGTAGAAGTACAATGGGACGGACTCGAGCTGTCGTGAGTCCTGCACATAACAAGCCGGAACAGGCTCTCGCTTATACTCCTTTTTTTTTTTAACTATCTTTTTTTTTTTTTTTACTTTCCATTTGCTCCAGCACATCTCCAAAGAGATACCTCAGTTGCAGCCTGGGTAAGAGAAAAATGGGCTTCGCCTTGCTAAACTTTTTTCCATCTTTCTAGTCTCACTGACACCCAAACCTTTTCATTTGCATTGGAAACCTTTGGAAAGGGTTGCCTTTTAGAATAAGCAGCAAACAGCAGCTCTTTCAGTCCTCACCAACCCACCTCATTAGAAAGGGGATTAAGCTATTTTTTAACAAATAAACATAAATGGGAGTAACCCTTGATACCTCTGCAACCACATCTATCTCCCCAGCGCTGGTCTCCAAATAAAGACGGTAAAATACATTCTAATCAGAGGATCAAAAGTGTTTCTTTCTAAGGCACCAATGGCACAGTAGTAATTTTAGAAATTTAAGTCAGCTCGAACCTGCTGCTGGATTATTTTTAACAGGAACTTTGTGTGCAAGGGCAGTTTGGAGGCCACCCAGCCACAGAGGGCGAGAGGTCCCCGAAACAAAGCCTCAGTGGCAGCCAGGGATCCCCTCCACAGGGGGAGGTTTTGAATTCATTTATAAGAGAGGACGAAAGTGTGAGCTGCTGTCTTTTGAGCCCCTAGTAAACTGCCACCACATGCAAACACCACTTTTTTCTTTTCAGCTTTCCCATCTTCAGTCAGATGACGGTGAAGTTCTCTACTGAAAACATAGGTGAGGCAAGGCAGCTGGTGTGGGACAGCTGGGAAACAAGCAGAGTTCAAGGCTCAGCTATTCTTAAAAAGCACACACATCTTTCTATATTTATTCCCACTTCCGAGCTCCAAATGAAACACATGCAGTCCTGATGAGTTTACAACTCTAAATACAACGCAGGAGAAAAAGCCTAAAGCTCATCTGGGAAAACCAAACTGATATATACAAAAAGCACCAGAAGGATTATTATTGTTTTTACTGCTGCCACATATACAGATACATTCCTAAAAATACACTACTAGCCCTAGGATTGAACATAACAGAATAGAAACACCACTGTTTTACAAACACAGCCACAATTTGAAACCAAGCAGTCTGTTCCTCACCCCAGCTCCATCACGGACCTCTGCGAAAAGCCACTCGTGAGGATCCACGCATTGCATGCAGCTCGCCATGGGCTCCTGCAAGCTTCACACGTGGGTCTGACAAGCGGCAGGGAGCTCTGCGGGGCCAGCTGAAATATTTACCCTACTTGGGTAGATTTCACAGGGCTCGCCACCGCTGCTCCCAGCCCGATACCTCTGGCACAATAACCAGCACCCTCCCAGCAATAACCAGAAAGCAAGCTGGCAGAGACGTGCCCCTCGTTTCGGAGCACGGTTCCATTTCTCTGGCGAACGAACAAGCACGAATAACCTGGGCCATTCGTGCACTTTGATGCTTTGACCAGAGGTCCCTCAGAAGGACAGAATGATGACAGCGAGCAAAGGTAACATGCAGTGACAACACTGTGATGGGACCGACCATGCAGCAGCTCCAACCAAAAAGATGTCTCCAGCGCTTGCAGAGCCCGCTGCCGATCCCCGCACCCTGCCTGTGCCCTCGTCGTGGGGCCAGCCCAGTGGCTGTACCTCAGGTCCGCAGGCTGAAAGGCCAGAATGGCTGTAACATCTGATGTGACAAATTAAAAAAACCCTAAATGCCAGATAAGGCATATTCACCACCACTTTGAAAAAATACTCTTACAAGTAAACACAAACGTAGCTGTGATGGATAGGCAGAGCGAATAAAACAACCATCCCCGGAATAAAGTTTATTTTCTACATGCCTTGCAAGAATCTGTTCAAAACCAAACAGCAACCACCATGACATACAGCTGCAGCAGACTCCAGCTGGCAGATAATTCAATAACCACCTCCTTTTTTCCCCTTTTACACCAGAAAAGCACTAAGCCCACAGAGTTTGCCCCTGCTGCGGCGGCAGGTTGGGTGGGGAGTACTCACTGCAGGCTCCGCAGGTGAAGCAGCCATCGTGGTAGAGGTTGCCCATGGCCTGGCAAGCCTGGTTTGCTCCGTACACACCCTTGCTGCACTTCACGCAGGTGCCTGGAAGAGAGAAAAGGAGAAAGAGGTCAGAAGTTTCTTCTGCATGCATAAAATAAGCTTGTTGGTTGCAACTGACCTGAGGAAAGCACACTCCTTCTCTGAGCCCCTTTAAATCTTCATCAATTTCAGACTCCCACCCCAAGGTCCAGAGAATTTCCCACCGAAACAGAGCTGGACTGACCCGACACCTCCCTTTCTTCCCTCTGTCAGCCACATCCAAACAGAGAGACTCAACCTAGACGCTGCCCACAGATGACGCATCCCGCCGAGATGTTCTTGCCTCTTGCAGGACAAGGCAAGGAAGAAGACAGGTTTAAGGAGAGGTACCTGGTGGCTGAAGCTGACTTTCCGGTGGCCCATGGGGTGAAGGGGAGCCAAGGCCAGCACATATGGTTTTGTGTGTTCACCCAGGGCCTCTCAAATCTCACTGCACTTCCACATACAACTATTTGGATAACGGAGTAAGGAGTGACAACTGAATTCACGGCCTTGACGGCATCTCTGGCAGAACCTGCTCCCTCCACCCAGCAGGGAGAAATGCAGCGAGATCGCCCAAAACCACCATTAGTGGCGGAGGAGAGAAAGTCCTTGTCCAGGGAAAATGACACATCAAGCCAATTTACTTCCTTCAGGCATTACCCTGTGATTGCGACAGACCAGTTTTAAAGCAGCATCACCCTTTAACTACCTCTACATGAGCAACTTTAATCCATATTTAATCAAATAAAACTTAAACTCCCCAGGGCAGGGATCATTGGTCACGTCTTGCACCTACTGCCCGAAGAGGGACCGCATCATCTTGCTGGAGATCCTCAGTTATGCCGTGGTTACCAAAACTTCACTTCTTTCAGGGCCGCAAAAGCTCCAGAGTAATTGCAAAGGTCTGGTGAAAGCCAGGAAGAAACCCAACGTACTTACGACAGCACGGAAAAGTAACTCCCAACTTGGCAGCACCACGCTGGCAGTCTCAGGGTGGTTAACAATTTAATCCTGCAGCTGATAGCTGCAGCCATCAGTTTTCCCGCTACACTGCTAAAAATGCTCAGGAACCCTTTGCAGTAGTGCACACTAGTGGAAAGCAGATAATTCATTTTCCCAGAGCAGACCTGGCTCTCTGCTCTGCAGCTGCCTGTGTGCATCCAAACACACGGTGAAAGCTGTTCGAGCACTGCTCCGAGCCCTGCTGCACTGTCCAAACTGACACAAACCTGAGGGAAGGCTGCAGAGAATAATTAGTTACTCTGTTCTGTCCAAATCCAACGTGAACTGAAATGCCAGTTTGGCTGCGGGCCCACCCCGAATGCAGACTGGCATAAAGTTAGCAAAACTTGCTGGTTCTCTTCGAACCAAGCAGATTTATCTCAGTTGGTTATCAAAAGAAACATTTTAAGAAAGCAAAAGATAAATCATGCAAGCATTATAAAAACAAAAAAAAAAAAAAGGAAAAGACAAGACAAAAATAAGAAAATTTAGCTCTCCAAATGGATTTGTTCTGCCAGGAATGCACACATTCAGCGGCAGCCTGAGATGCTGGGCAATCATCTGACACAAGACTTAACAGCCACCACGCAAAATCCCCTCTCAACTACAGCGTTATCGAGTGGAAAGCCTTGAGAGCAGAAAACCTGCTGATTTTGCTGCTCAAAGCCTTCTGTCCACAACATTCCCCAGGCTTTCCACAGCACCGATGGATTTATAGCACAGCAAGTGCTGCATTTTGCCCTTTTCCACGCCAACGACAGTCTGCTCCAGAAAAAATCACCAGCATGCTCCAATTTCGTCCGGCTGGCACTGAATATGGATGAGCAGCAAGATGGAGCAGGAGACAGAAGGTACATGCCCCGTTTCACCCCCTGCTTAACCCTTTTATCCACTTCTTTAAACATCTAGGCCCTTAAAACACAGAAAATAAAGTCGTAGAATGAAAAGGCTTTCAAAATAAATTGACAATGTTGTCTGTAAAAACTATGATGTGCTAAATTACCCAACTATGTCACAACCAGCCATGCTATAAATATTTATACACGTTCTGTGGCAAAGCTGACAATTGAAAAAATAGCATTATGGCAAATCTACGTATAGTTTATGTTTTCAGTAGTATCTGGCTAAATCTTACTTGAAAGCCAATTAAATCTTAGTAGCAACTGGAATGATTCTAGAAGTAACTCTTTGCTTCTTCCAAATACAATCATATAATCACATCCAACCCCATCCCGCTGCAAGACAGGCTCCGCGCCCCGCTCCACGCCAGCTCTCACGACTGTTTCCCAACAGACTGCTGAGCGTGCTCTCTGCTAGCCAGGGTGCAGAGCGAAAATGTCAGCAGTGTCAGGCCAGCCCCATAGGGTAATTTTCTTGGCATAGCACAGCATTTAGCAAAAACTTGTGGTTTCAGCTGGAAGCAGAGAGATCCTGAGCATCCACGGCTGGGCGAGATGCCTGATACCTGTTACTTTGCCACGCATAACGAGTGCTTATGCAAGAGCCGATCTGAGCAGATATCCCCTCCGAAATTCTGCCGTTTAACCCCAGACAGTGTTATTAAGACGTGACTAAGGAGAAATGAAAGGTTTCTCTTTCGCCACCAGGATGACAAGCCCAAAGCACCGCACAAGTACAGTGCCGGTAAATTCATGCTCCAGCGTGCCAGCAGAACGGTAGCCAGATTTTGGAAAGGCAAAAGGATGGAAATTGCTGATTTCGGCTTGATTTCTGCTGGCAGGGAGGCCGGCCCCCGGACAACAAAGAAATCTCTGTTCCCTTTCACATCATGCGGCAAGCAACCACCCGCGCTGCAGCTGAGTGCCGGAACAAAGGGACCTTTGGGGCAGAGCTGGGACCAAAAACATGCCCCGTAAGCAACATCCCAGCATTAGCCGTGCTCCGTCTCGGCACTGCAAACCAGAGCGAGGGCTGCCACCAGGAACAGCCTCCGCTCACAAGATCACACAGGTCTGATGCAGACCTCGAGGGCTGTCAGGAATGAAAGCGAAGCCGGTGCCCAGTCTGAAATGTCAGTCCCGCTCCCAAAGTTCAACAAGTACATTTCCATTTGCTGCTGGATTCAAAGCCTTTAGAGATTGTTTTTTCCTCAAGGTGTTGCTATTTCACACTCACTAGAAGGAGCTCAGTTACTTGCTGTATCCCACCCACTAAAAATTCAATGCAAGCCATGCTGAACAACAGCATTTTCTGGGACTGGTCAGTATGGTTTATTTCCACCTGCCAGACGTCCCCTATCTACAAACCAAGAACACAGTTGTGGGTTTTTCCAGCAGCATCCCCCTTCTTTTCAGCATCCCCATTCTCAGCAGCATCCCCATTCTCAGCAGCATCCCCATTCTCAGCAGCATCCAGGACAGCCAAGCTTTTCTACACGTGCTCCCGGCTGGGTTTGCTAAGAGGGTCGCTTAATTTTAGAGTGCAAAATGTGCTGCTGTGCTGCTCCAGTGGTGAGCTCTCCTTGCCATGTCAATCGGGTCCTGGACACAAGGAACACAGTGTAAGGATGGTTCTGGTGGTGTGGGTCTGCATATGTAGCTAATCCAGAAACAGTACTTGGAAGAATAAGTCTGTCCTACCCCTTCCACTTACTCTGTGCAAGGTACAGCTTCTGCATTTCCAACCCACCTATTTATTCCATGAGAACCAAGTCTTCCACTTACACACACATTTTTCAAACACCATCCACTGAAAAAAAAAAAAAAAGGCTTCACCCTGTCGTACCCAACGTGATGCTCAGGTCTTCAGGTTTTCCTTCAGACCCTCTCCAGAACCTGATGCCACCTCCTCATGGCTCACCTTAACCCAGCTCACGTCAGTGACATTTTAAATACCTTACATCAATGTCAGAGATGGTGTTATTCCAGTGCCAAATGAATGAGGCTCCTTACTCGTTTCAGTCCCCACTGCCGCAGCATCCTGGCTGAAAGATCTATTGCTCTTCTGCCTCAACTTCTTCCTTTTTCTTTCCTTTTGGTAGATCTTTCGTTAGCTTGCAAACCCAGCTTAGCTCCCAAGAGGAAGGGAGGAGAAGCGCACGCTGCTGTAATCTTGAAGAGCCGTATCCCAGGTGAATACTTACTTGCTTGGTTCCTCACAGTGAGATAAGCTTTGCAATTTGCATGTACCCACTAGTCCACATGCTGCCATCCTTCCAGCTTTCCTCGTTCCGCCAGGGCCCACACCACCCTGCCTCCCTCTCCTCTCCGCTGCAAGCAGGCATCTCCTTCCAAAGCATCCTGGTACACCATCATCATCAGGGTTTGGTAAAGTCCGCAGGTATGTACAGGCTTCAAGTTAAACGAAATGTGGTTTTGGCAGGAGTAAAACGCCAACTTTGCTACACACAAGACTTCCAAAGAACGCCGCTGGCCTTCAAGCTGATCATACCCATTCAAAGGTGCTGGGTTTCCAGGTCCCGGCGGGGTTTCTGCGACTCAGCTACTGCTCTGCTTCTGCCAAGGGGAAAAAAAATCTGCAGACTTCGCTACGAGATCTTCTCTGCCCCACTGCTGGAAAGCATCCCAATATTTTCCTGCAAAAGAAGATGCTTGGGGCCCTCCTAAAATACCTATAGCTCATCAGCTCTGCTGTAAATAATAAGGGAGGGAGCCAAGAATTCAACACCTGACAAATGTTTATAGCAAGAAAACCATTTATAAAAATTGTATTTGAAAAAGCTCTTGGTAAGGGTGTAGATAGGCTTCATCAGACAGAGATTTCCATCT